ATTTGAACTTGTTCTATTTTCCTAGTGTGGGCATTCAGTGCTATGAATTTTCCAGGTAGAACTGCTTTCATTGTGTCCCATAGATTTCTATATGTTGTTTTGGCATTTTCGTTTATTTGTAAAAACTGTCTGATTTCTTCTTTAATTTCCTCTGTGATCCATTGATTGTTAAGGAGAGTGTTGTTCAATTTCCATGTATTTGTGAAGTTCCTATGGTTTCTTATGCTATTGATCTCCAGCTTTATTGTACTGTGATCTGATAGTATACAGGGAATAACTTCAATTCTTTTGCATTTATTCAAACCCGCTTTGTGAGCTAGTATGTGATCTATCTTGGAGAATGACCCATGTGCAGCTGAAAAGAATGTATATTCTGATTTTGTGGGGTGGAACACTCTATAGATGTCTAATAAATCCATGAGTTCAAAAGCTTGGTTCAGTTCTAGTATTTCATTGTTGATTTTTTTGACTAGATGATGTCTATTTGTGATAGTGGGGTATGTAGATCCCCCACTACAATTGTATTAGTGCTTATTTGGTTTTTCATATTACTTAATATTTGTTTTATATAGTTGGGGCATTTATATTTGGTGCATATATGTTTATGATTGTTATTTCTTCCTCTTGGATTGTTCCTTTTACAAGGATGTAGTGGCCTTCTTTGTCTCTCTTAATCAGTTTTGGTTTGAAATTTACTTTGTCTGCAAATAAGATTGCTACCCCTGCTTTTTTCTGGGCTCCTGTCATGTGGATAATTGTTTTCCATCCTTTCACTTTCAGTCTATGGGCTTCCTTTTGCAATAGGTGTGTTTCTGGTATATAACACATTGTTGGGTTTTGCTTCTTAATCCATTCTGCCAATCTATTTCTCTTGATTGGTGAATTGAGGCCATTGACATTGAAGGTTATAACTGATATGTACTGACTTATTATTGTCATGTTGTTCTTTTGTTGACTCTTTAATTTTTTGTCCTCTCCTTTTAGTTTCTTGCCTTGGCTATTTGAATTGCTCTGTTGGGCCTCATGGTGTTGTGATCTTCATTATCTTTTTCTAGGATATTGTTTAAAATTCCTTGTAGTGCTGGTTTAGTATTCATGAAGTTTCTCAAGTGTTCTTTGTCATGGAAGTATCTTATTTCTCCATCCATTTTGAAAGAGAGTTTTGCAGGATACATCAGTCTTGGTTGTAGGTTGTTTTGTTTTAGGACTTGAAATACCTCACTCCAGTCTCTCCTTGACCTGAGGGTTGTGCTGAAAAGTCTGCTGTGATTCTGATGGGCTTTCCTTTGCATGTGATTTGTTTCTTTTCTCTTACTGCTTGTAGTATTTTGCTCTTCTGTTGGGTTTCTGGGATCTTGATTATTATATGTCTAGGTGTAGATTTTTTTTGATCGTGGCTAGTTGGAGTCCTATATGTCTCGCTTATCTGTATGTCAAATTCTTCCCCTCTGTTTGGGAAGTTTTCTGTCATTAATTTTGTGAACAGCTTTTTAAAGTCATTTGCACTTTCTTCTGCTACTTCATGGATTCCTATCAGTTTTATGTTGTTCTTCTTTGCATCATCTAGGAGTTGTTGGATCAATTTGTCATGCTCCCTTACTGTTTTTAAAAGACCTCTCTTTTCACAGTCACTGTCTGTGATCTTGTCTTCAATATCTGAGATTCTATCTTTGTAATCTTTTATTCTGTTGTGTATGTTTCCAATAGAGTTTTTAATCTCCTGGATATCTGTTTGAATCTGTTTAATGGATTCCATTTCTTTCCTATGTTGGGTGTTCACTGTTTCCATTTCTTTCTTATTCTGGGATTTCATGGTTTCTATCATGGTCCTGAGCTCATCTATTTTTTTTTTGTCAGTTTCTATTCTGGAGTCTCGAATCATGTCTTTTGCTCACCATCTCTATGGTTATCTGGGAAATTTTTTCTGTTTTGAATTTTTCTAGAGCTTGATTGATCTGTTTTGTTACTTCCTGTGCTGTGAGTTCTGAGTGTCCTGGAGGTTCACTATCAGACTTTTCATCCTCCTTTGCTCTACTGTTTGCTATTGGTGAACTGGAAGTCTGTCTTTGTGGCTTGCTTAGGTGTTTTCTCATCTTCATTTTTGCTGTTGGGTTGCCCTTGATTCAATCTCTGGGTCATTAAATCTTCCTGATATCATTGTGTCCCAGCCTTTGATTCTCTAATGACTTATAGACATTCTCATTTTCATAATTGAGAAAACAACTCATCAAATCAATCCCTATCTCTTATCCCAATCGATACAATCAGGAACACAATAGGATCAATCACCTCCCTTTATAGCCAGCCATGCCTCTGCAGAGTGCGTCCAAGGACTGGCACAATCAGGGGATGGGGGGGTTGCTCAGAGGCGCCCCTGTGGCTACCCTCCTGGCACTGGATCGGGGCAATCAATGGTGCCCACCGGGAAAGGCCTGAATTGTGTTTCTTAATGAAGCCAGGTGCTTTGTAGTGTTTCATTCATTTAACTGTAAAAAAAACGTGCATTTGTGAAGTGGAAACTATCCCTGAGTTTGCTTCCTAGGTATCAGAGTTACTAATATGAAAGAACTTCCATATGTGCTTTCCTTATACAGATGAAAGCTTGACATTTTTAAGATTATCAACATAGGAATCTAACCTTCACCACGTAACTGACTCCAGTCTTGTACATGCATATTTATCATATTTTATATCCTGTTTCACCTCACTTGGGTGCCTGGGATAGGAAAGTCTTTTTCTTCTTTTTATGGTGTAGAAGTGCTTTAGGTCAGCAGGCCTGATGTGGCTGGGGTGCCTGTGTTAAGGGCAGATCCTGGGCCCATCTGGAAAAGGACATTTTCTCCTACTTGAAGAGGGGCAAAGCAGACCCCGTGACTCCCTAACAGTCGACTTCAGCTACCTTGTGACCCATGTGTAAGGAATTAATTTTCTTTTTTTTTTTTGTACTGGGGATTGAACTCAGGACCTTGCACTCGCAAGGCAGGCATGGCGCCACTGAGCTAAATCCGCAGCCCCACATTTTCTATTTTAAGCTGACTGTGGAGACACACTGCTTCAAAGTTTCCTTGAAAATTTAAGTGGGGTGTGTAGAGTACTGAGGAACCACTGAATTTTTAAAAATTATTTTAATCAGGAAATGCATGAAAATGGCTTTAGAAGTTTTTGTGGAGTGTCCTGCTCTTGCTTCCTCCTTACTTCTGTTCTTCACAGGGACGAGCTCTTCCCATTTGCTTAGCTCTGATTTTGGCTGGGCACCTTCACAGTTCTTTCCAAATTGCTCTCCAGCTTTCAAGTGAAGGCATGCATTTATACATGTAATTACTAAAAGCCTCTTACACGAGAAGTCCTAGCAGTCCCCAAGCCACCTCCCATTCTCCTGAGAATGACTTAATTTATACATTACACAGGGACTTCCCGGGATGACAGATGCAGACTCAGCTCTCACACCACTTTCGTCTTTTCCTCTCATATTGTCCCCAAATAGTGACCAGTCTCGGGGTGAGGTAGCCATCACAGCATCGAGACAGTAGTATGTACACATTACTCATTTTTTTTTGTTGTTTTTTTGAATCAGGGTCCAACTATGTAGTGAGACTGACCTGGAACTCACTATGTAGCCCAGGCTGGTCTCGAACTCACAGTGATCCTCCTGCCTCAGCCTCCCGAGTGCTGGGATTACAGGCGTGTGCCACCACGCCTGGCCAAATTACTCATTCTTGAGAAAAACAGCATTTTAGGGTTTTACTTCCTGTATGTTTCTAATCCAGTTAACAACTTCCTAGTCATGCCTACCCTGTCAATCTACATTTATATTTGCTTTATCCTTAGTGAACTTCAACTTTCTGTCAGCAACTTTTGATATTTCTGCTGTTTGCTATGCCAGTTACCCAGCTGGAATATTGTTTTGGGTTAACCATCGTCGCCTTATTTTTGGTTGGTTTATTCCTTGGTTTTGCTGGAGCATTTCTTCCAGTGGCTTTCTAAAAGATACATGGAGGGAGCCCAAGTCTGCTTGTTTTGAGTATTGGCTGAGTGTAGATTAGTTGAAAATAATTTTTTTTCCTGGTACTGGGGATTGAACTCGGGTCCTTGCACTTATAAGGCAGGAAGCAGAACCACTGAGCTAAATTCCCATCCTGAAAATACATTTCTTCTTAGAAGCTTGGAGGCATGGTTCTATTATTTCTGCTTTTTCTTCTCTTTTTAATACTGGGCATTGAACTTAGGGGCTTTGGACATGGTAGGCAAGCACTCTACCGCTGAGCTATACCTCCATCTCTTTTTATTTATAGTAAGGTTTTGCTAAGTTCTCCAGGAGGGCCTTGAACTCATGATCCTCCTGCTCCAACCTGAGTAGTCGCTGCACCCATTAATTTTTAAAATTCCCTTTTTCTTTCCTTTCTTAAAGGAATTTCAAACTCATTGCATCTAAAACTAAAATCAAACTGTCAGAAAACCTGCTGCCTCCAACTTAACATATATCCCAAGCCAGTTTCTCACTCTGCCCAACCCTCACTATGCTTGATATGGGTCTCCATGTTTGCTTTCTTGAATCTATAAACCATTTCAAGCAAACCATGTGTGGCCTTACACTTTTGTACTACGTAGAAAGCACGAAGGCCTCACACTCACCAACACATAGGATTGTGTTCAGCACTCATTGTTCCTGTGCACGCCAGCAGCTTTCTGCAAATACTGGGGACTCCACCTAGCAGCTTGAGGGTGTCCGGCCCACTGGTGGGGTAGGATATGGGAGGCCTGGGACAGCCCCAGCCCATTCTGCCCTCACGCCAGGAACCTCTGGTAAGGTGCTCCTTACCCAATGGTAGGTAACCTGCTTGTTGACCTGGGATTGGCTTTATTTTTTCTTTCACTTTTCCATACCCTAACTGATACTTTCTAGTATGACTGCCCAAAAAACCGTCTTCCTGGAATTTTGGTCTTGGGATCTGCCCTGGGGGAAAACGCGTCTAACACAGTAAATTTTCTTGTCATTTCAGTTCTTCACTAGTAAATGTAGGCAGGATTTACCTACTGAGGCGTCTGCTGAGTTCAAGTGTACATGCACCTTCGTTCTTAATGTCAGCAATTGAAACGCCCGACAGTGCCAAGCAGCGGTGAGGCCACACGACAGGAGTGGAATTGGGCAGCGCTGTGCTGCTCTGATCCATGTTGAAGTTCTGTAAGTTCTGGCGCTAAGTTTCCAGTTTGTTCACAGCAGAGCACTTCCCACTTTCCCCTGTGGTCTGCGATCTTTGTGCAGCAGTAGTGAATCCCATTCTGCCTCTTTGTGCGATGTCTCTCCCTTTTATGGAAGGTTTTAGGAAATTCCTTTGCTCCTGGTGTTCTGCTTCCTTCAAGGAAAGGGCTCAACTGATCACCTCAGCCAAGCTTTCCTGGACAAGTGGGTTTCCAAAGCCCTCACCACAGCATCCACGCCTAATACGGGACCACACCAGCTCTGGTAAGGTCAACTCTTTCAGCAGACTTGTGCCAGGACATTCATGTGGGAAAATCTGGGTATTGCACAGAATTTGTTTCTTTTACGTAGCAGCCTTTGGCAGTTTTCTGTTAGTACCTCAATTTTAGCTGCTGGAGAATATTTCATTTTAATGATATTACTGATTACTTCTACCTTTATTCACATAGGGGCTCTTCTCAAATTTAAAAGAAAAAGCTGCAAACATTTTTGGGTCCATGTCTTTGTTCAGGATTAACTTCTAGATATAGAAATTATGGTCCAAATCCAGACCATTCTGCATTTGAATTGATACCGCTAACTTATACTCTAAAAAAGTAGTATTAGTTTACAAGGCAGAACAGGTTATATTTTTGGTATACCCAATAATACAAATCTTTGTTTCTGTGATAGATGTTTTAATTTTTATTAATTTTGTACAATTTAGTTTCTAACATTAATAATTTTGGCTCCTAGCAATAACCATTCTCAATGTCACTCTTTGAACTTTTAATTTCAGCTATTATACTTGTTATTGCTTGTCCATTTTGTTCTGTCTCTGCAGTATCTTCTGGAAGCCTTCTGAAGACCAGAAGCGGAAATTTCAGAGGTCTCAGGCTTTTCCTAGGTCAGCTCCTACCTGCTTCTTTATCATCCCTGTGGAAGGTACTGCAGTTCAAAACTTACTGATTTCCAAGCTCAGTGAACAGAGCTTTTGCTCAGAAGTATGCGGTGTATGGATTGATTTGTTTCCTACTCTGACTGGATTTTCTTTCAAAATGTGAGTTGTAGGCATTTTGTTCATAACCCACATCTTCCCTTTGGACGAGTCTGGCTATCTCCATGGTCCTCACCTGAGCAGGACACCTGATTTGGATCCCTCACACCTGTACCACCAGAGCAGGTGCTGGGACTCAGATGGGGGCCTGGCTAGGGAGACTGAGACAGTCAGAGCAGAAGTGTTTCTTAAATAGGATCTGTTTAGAAAAAATTATCCAGAGATGAAAAGGCAAAACAAGTCTTTTTCTCTAATATATAAGTACATAATGTTTTTAGAAGAAGGGGAACAACTTGAAATGGATCAGAATACACCTTCACATTAATCGTTCTTTTCATATACTTCAAATTTGTACTTGATGCCTTTCTCCTCTTGGACCTCCGAAATCACACCTGGGTATCTATAAAAGAAACAGGTATATGATTAAATTATGCACCCATGGGACACCAAACTCCCCGCCTCCTCATCCAAAAGGCACCCATGGTGCATAAACTCCTTCCTCTGCCTTCACCAGAGCACACTGGGAATGGGGTCTCAGGCAAATACCTGACGATGCAAATGGTAAGGAGACACTGCATGTTGTTTAGCGTTAGAAAGCAAACAGCCAAATTTCTCCTCCTTTCCTTCTGATTCCTAATTCTTTTCTTGAAAACTAACCATGGGTAGGAGTTTCTCTTATACCTTTTCACTCTATCCCTGAGCTAAAATGAAATTTCCTAAGAATGTTTTGTAAGTCTTACCGTTGGTATCACATTTCACACCAAAAATGTTACTGTCTGCTTAACTGTTTTGTACTCACTGTAGGCAAGGATAATACAGGAAAACTTCTTACTCTCTTAGGACAACAGGCATCAATATTTGATGAGTAAGGAGACAATTGATAAAAAACATAATTAGAGATAGGCAATAACAGCTGCATAACAATATGTGGTGAGAAGAAAAGGCATTTTCTCTGGAATAATTTATATTTATTTAAATTGATGCCAACCATTTCTAAGCCACGTTGCTGCACTAGTTTGATAGCAGTATATCCCTTTCTTTTCTGTTAAGAAATGGTTTTAGTAGGCCAATTTAAGTTTTACTCTCTTAAAATGAATCACGAAAAGTAACATTTGCATTTTTTTTGTTCAAATTCTCAGCAGTGTCAGGATTGTTAGCTGAGAAGAGGGGAGCAAAGCATCAGGAGGTTCTCTCTAAAACCATGAACAACAATAACTTGGAAAACACTGCACTACTGGCTAAGTTCCATCAGTAACCACGGTACTCATGTTAAGCTTCTCTGGGAAATTAAAATTTAATTCTGCTTAATTTCCATCTTTATTTCCCTAATAACCACTTGTGCAGTCGGTTTTAAAAATGGTTAGAATTACCTCAGAATCCTAACTCCACTGGGGACATACTTGGACACCAAGCCCAAGTCTGACAAGGCCTGGTGCCGTGGCCTTCAATGGAGTCATCCAGAGAAGCTCCTCTGGGTCAGTTAGCTGTTGGCTGAGAGGAGACACTAGACAGCCACCTCATACAGAAGAGGGCTCATTATGCCCACGGGCTCAGGGACTTTACTCTGTGGGTGGCTGGCCCAAACCTGGCATGAGGCAGCACGTGCTGATGGGAGTGTCATGGCCACTGGAAGTGCGGAGACAGGAAGCGGGGGTCCGTACCCTCCACCCCTATGACCTCATTTCCTTCCACAAGGCTCTGCCTGTTAACGGTTCCATCTGGTAACAGTGCCAAGGACTGGGACTGAGCAGGAGTACGTGGGCCTCTGGGGACGTTCCAGATGTGAACACCAGCACCCTTTAGACTCTTACAGAACTAAGAAAGCTCGTGACTATGAACAGACAGCAGGTCTGAACTTGGTGTTCACAGGAATGAGCCTGAGATGATTTAACAGGAGATCCAAGAGCTAACGGACTTCTGGAAACCATGAAAACCAAACTGTAAGCAAAATAAGACTCCCCAGGAAGCACAGGAAAAGGATACATGTCCCACGGACTAACAGCAGTTTTGTTGATTTTGACAGACTTCCAGGGACAAGGGTTTCCTTTTCAGAGGTTTCATTTTTCTCCACTTAACAAAGGCCTGAGCTATACCAGGTGCCCCCTTGGCAAGGGTCCCTCCCTCCACCAGGACAAGGGGTGGCTGTAATGTCTGGACAAGTCCAGAAGTATGGAAGACTGTCCAATGCTCAGTGAAGGGTTTCATTTTCTTCCACAGCCCTGTATAGAACGTCCCATTTTGGAGCAATGTTCTTGTTTCTTTCTCAATCCACTCAGCATTAAAGTTTTCTAAGACATTATTTATGTATTTTTTTGGTACTGGGATCAAACTCAGGACCGTGTGCTTGCAAGGCAGGTGCGGTGCCACTGAGCTACATCCTGGCCCCTCTAAGACATTTAACGAAGATGTACTGTCAACCCTTCACACAACCGTCTCCCCACAAAGAGGAAAGGATACTTCTCAGTTTATCCTGCAACTTCAGTATTACCCTGACTCCCAAACCAGGTGAAGAAACAAACAAAAGAAACAATAAACAACAACAAAACCACAGACCGACACTACTGAATACACTTTCGAGAGTCAGGTTAGGAGATGGGAATGACACCCCAGGAAAGATGTTAAAATTTCCTTTCCTAAAAGCCTGAGCAGTAAGTACTGAAGTTATCAAGGATTCAAAGCGTCACAACTCTGGAGAGATCTGACTGGAAGTAGTAATCCTGGGAAAGGTATTTAAACGAGGCACGCACTAGTCTGTTCTGGTTGCTCATAGCAAAGGGGAAGAAATGACGGAGAGCTGAGCTCCACACTCCGTGTGTGAGTCGGCAGTCTACACAGAGGAGGAAACGTGCGGGCACCACTGCGGAAAGCAAGGGGTGAATGCGTGTGGAAGTGTTCGGCGAGGTGGCGTCCTCGGGGCCCGAGTGACAGCCCAGGCTCCGGCGTACAGCGCTCTTCCAGTTCGGCTGTGTTGGCAACGAGGGCCCGACATACATCCCTCACTTCCTCTGGCTGTGACCACGAGAGGTGGACGAGCGATCCGATGCAGAGCCCTCAGGCAGACGCCCTCCAAACACAAACGCACACTCAGGTGATCCCCAGACGCCTGAGTACGGAGAGGAGGCGCTGGCCTGGAAGCATTCGGCTAATTAACCTTTTACCTTCTCCAGGTGAGGGCTAAAGTGCTCTTAAACTAAGACGTTAGGCATTTTCATCACCAGGCAGCTTCCCACTGGGTCCCGAGTGTGCGGAGTCCCTGTCACCGTCACCTCCTTAACCCCAGTCCTCTCCTCTCACCTCAACTACCGCAACCGCCCGGTCTCCCCGATTCACCTTCCTTCCTTTTCAGGTACTAGAGCTTGCACACACAGGCATTCACACGGAGCTACATCCCTTCCCAGCGCTTTCTGATCTTGAGACGGGAACCCCACGGGCTAGAACTTGCAGTCCTCCCGCCTCAGCTTCCCGGACGGCTGGGGTCACAGGCGTGCGTCACCACACCCAGCTGCCCCGCTTCTCTTGAGTCCCTCTCTGGCCTGTACCCCTCAAGGCAGCTGAACAATGTCGTTCTCTTTGGAACCCTCGGCACCTGCAACAGGCCTGACCGATGGCCAGCCCGCTGCTCCACGCCTCACACTGGCCTTCGGCTCAGGAATGGACTGGCTCCCGCCGCCTCAGCCTCTGTGCTAGCTGTTTCTGGGAGATCTTCCTGCCATCAGGTCTCATGCGTGCCACGTCACAGCACCCAGTTCCCTGCATGGCGGTTCTGGACGTCCGTGTGACGCGCCAGCCTCTCCGCTCTGAGCAGAGGGGACGGGTGCTCTAGGGAGCGGCGAGGGTGCCTGGCTCTCTGGGAAGACCTGACCACTGCGCTTTCCGGCTGCACCACGGTCCTGGGAACCCGAGTACTTCCAAGTTGAGAAGGGAGGGAGATTTCCAAAAACTCCTACAGCACAGCTAACCACATGACTACCCCGCACTTATTCTGGAAAAAAAAGAATACTGTCCTCTCTGATTCTTAGGTGGGAAGCCCAAATATGCTTCAGGCTAATGAATAACTTAATACTTACTCGGGGAGGAGCCTGTATTTCTTCAGATCAATTTCTGGAAAAAACGTGTCACTTTCGAATTCCTGCATGATCCTCGTCACAAACAGTTTGAGATGGCCCGGCCGATCCATGGCTTCCTTAGAAATAAAGCAAAGGCATCATCAGCTCCCTTAATGAGTCAGAAGACAGAAGCCCAAGGACTTCAGTGTCATCAGCTGAGTTATTCCTGGAGAGGATTCGCATCAGTGCCGACAGTGTGGCAAGCTACGGGTAAGGCTGATTACGTGAGGACCTGGGCACTGCAAGCTTGTGCTTTCCCAGGCCAGAGCGCTGCGGTGGAGCTGCATAGGCGTGGCAGGTGGGATGAGTCCCCATCCCCATGCCCAGGGATGCCAGGCCAAGCCGACACCGACATCCCAGGCAGAGGGCCGGTGACTCGAACTGCACGTGCACGTGGGTGCTACAGGGTTACAGGGCTTGCGTACAAGGGTGGGCATGCAGACCCATCCCAAAGGTACTGGGACAAAGCCAAGAGCTCGCTTTCTAGAAGAAACTCACGTCGGATAAGACAAGACTGTGAAATGGCTCTGATCACCCTAACTGCCAGGGACAGGAGGCTGCAGAACCAGGGACTGAGGTTTACAGCCCCACCTAGGCCCACGTACTGCATCTTTCTCCAGTCATTTCTGTGTGTGTGTGTGTTACCCACTGATTTTCTTCTTCCCCACATGTTAATCTTTGGTCACTGTTTTAAAAGGTTCAAAGAGTTCTATGTATTATCCTCAAAACCCGTAAGTCATTCTGTATCAGGAAAGAGGTGTACTTTCTCTCTGATACACTCGATTCCCAGACAAAATCATGGCGCCTTTCTCCTGGCCCTCACATTCCAGGAGAATTGTGAGGAAAAGCTTTCTGCTTTTAAGAAAGTCACATACTCGGGCCCATGTGTCAGCTGAGAGCCGAGAGTCTGCCATTTTCTCAGTGAGGCAGGCAAGGGAAGAGTCATGGCAGCACAGGGCACGTCCCGGGCACAAGACAGGATGATTCCATGGCTTTGAGACTGCAAACACCACCCAGTGTCCTGGACTGAAAATAAATGGCATGTGGTGAGCCGCTGCTCTAGGGATAGGGAACTTCACCGAGGAGGAGTAAGTTCTAGAGCCCTGCTGCACAGCGCATTACTGTGGGCTTGCAAACTGCTGGGTGATTTTAAGAGCTCTGATCTCCAGAAGTGAGATATGCCTGTTAATTTGTTTGATTAAACAATTCCCTCATTCAAAACATATATACAACAAATATGTGCAATTTTTTTGTCAATCAAAAAAATAAGACTTTTGGCCAGGCGTGGTGGCGCACGCCTGGAATCCCAGCACTCAGGAGGCTGAGGCAGGAGGATTGCTGTGAGTCTGAGACCAGCTTGGGCTACACAGTGAGTTCCAGGTCAGTCTCAACTATATAGTGAGACCCTGTTTCAAAACAAACAAACCAACAAAAACCCACAAAAATTTAAATAAAATATTTTACATGATGTCTAACAAATAGTTTAAAATGACAACGTGTTTAACATGCTGCTTCCTACCCTGTGGGTGGATGCTTCGCGTTTCCCACAATGGGCTCCCTACGCGCTGCCCCTCAAGGTCGGGGAAATGGCACAGGAGCTGAGAGGGGTGGGGAGGAGCCCTCGTACTGCGGGCAGCTGAACCCACCTTGTACACAGAACTGCCGCCCACTATCCACACCATGTCCACTCTGCGTGCTAATTCTGGTTGCTCAATAAGCTTCAAGGCGTCATCCAGACTTTGGGCAAGAAAATGAGCCCCTTGGGGAGGTTCCCTGGGTGGGGAAAGAAACATCAGTGTGCAGAACCCATCCACATGAGTCTAGGATTCTGAGTAAGAAGCAGTGATCACAAAAATAAAACCACACCCACGGACCCTTCTGACACAGCACTCAGCCCTGGTATAGCTCTCGAATGATACTCAATCTGCCTCTGTGCATCTACAGTCTGTGCAGATAAAAACCCCAAAACGTGCATGTTATCTCGTGGTGGAAGAACACCACAAGGGTAGCTGTGACTGCAGCAGTGGTGTAAAGATTAACCAGATAGGGCCTGAGAGAGCTTTACGGGGGTTACAACAATGCTCTGTGTGTTCAACCGGGGTTTGGTCACACAGGTGTAACTACTGTCAACATCTATTAAGTGGAGACGGGATGTAGCTCAGTGGTTCTGCTGCCTGCCTTGCAAGCGCTAAGTCCCGAGCTGTCGATCCCCAATACCAAACAATAAATTAGCCAGTGGACAACTGTGACTTATCTTCCTCATTGTAATGTTTACCCAACAGAAAAAAACTGAAGAGATACTGAATTCTTAATCACATCTATAGCATGTCGAGGAGGAAATACAGTAATATGTGTGACTTATCTTGAAGCGTGTACACAGACAATACCAAGTGATGGGCGAACGGACATGTTAAACCACGTTAAACCAGCAGAAAAGACAGTTTGGGCAGGACAGAAGTGGTAGGTATCCATTTATTTAATGTAAAGATCTTTCTCTGTGCTTGAAATTTTTCTTGATAAGATGCTGCAAAAAGAATATCTGAATAACTGTAAAAAAAGTTGAATGATTTTCAGACTTTCATGTTTTGAGCAATATACAGAAATGAATGAAGTATTTGAAAATGAGTTTGTTACTAATTATGCAGTTAAAAGTACAAAGGGGAGGGCCGGAGATGTAGCTCAGTGGTGCCGTCACCTGCCTCGCAAGTACAAGGTCTCGAGTTCAATCTCCAGTACAAAAAAAAAAAAAAAAA